ATATATATATATATATATGAATGTATACATGAGCATAAAACTATCTGCGAAACCGGTCGACATTCCTCATCTTCGCTGTAGCTGATGTTGACAATGACGGCGCCAGTGGCTCTTGCACAGCAGTCTCGAATAGGAAAGACTACGTTTAAGCAACACTCTGCGATTATCTTCGAAATGGCAAAATCACTTTGAGTGTTGTATATGAATATGTGAACAAGGAGCGAAATAGGGATGGTGAAAGTCGGAAGGTGACTGAAAACACCCTTACAGCTCAACACTATTGTTTCGAAGCTATTCCAATTAAGCTACAGGCAAGGAAACAACGCTTGACGTCAACGACAAAAGTGGATAGTATCAATAATGTCAAAAAATTTCGATCTGCAGTTGTAAAGTATCCGTATATCGTAGACACCATGCTTGACTGTCGGTGTAAAACTGTCATGTCTGTCTTCTCAAAAAACTTGTATGGCATACCATTGCGCCCGCTGGAGATTTTACCCAGAGGGTGGGTGCGCGACCGGGTCGATGGTGGTTTACACCATCAAACTGGTTTCTCGAAAGGAAATCGCTTTTTTGGTGATATTTTTGTGATTCCATTATAATGAAAGATTGCTGTAGGAATGAAATTGCCGTTAAGCTCAAAGATATGTGATCAAGTCTATTGTACGCTTGTGTGAATGAGTGTGGCCAGCATGGAATCGCTACTGAGCGCTTTGGGAAGCTTATATGATGTTCTTCTCTTATTTTTTAAACCTGAAACACTTTAGAGGGTCTTCCTTGAAATCTTAATTAGATCTCCATAAAGGTTGCGCAACTTTCGAAGAGCTTTCCGAATGGACCATTGTAATCGAGCCAAATATAAACAAGACAGTTCGACCATATGGATCTCGTTGATGTCGGCAACATCTGAATCACCTATGATAAACACTCACAGATGATTTCGGTCAGAACGGCTGTGCTGAAAATAGAAAACTTAGACTGATTGGATCATCAGTAAACAATATGTAGGGTGTCCGCGTTAATCAAGTACGATTAGGTGAGCACTTGGCGAGGAAGTTGCTTCGTCAACAAGAAGCCCGAACTCTTCACGAATACTTATCTTATTGGCATTAACATCTATGAAGCTTTCAAATGACCATGCCTGCGATAGTTAGTAAGTTAGACAATTACCATATTTCTTGAAATCTGTTCAGGTCGTGCAGTTCACAGTCTAATAAGAAATTTCTCCCTACCACAATTTTAAGGTTTCTATGAACCACTAGATCATTCCACTTATGGAATATGTGGCACATTCGTAGAACTAAAGGCTGTTAAAAAACAAGGTACAGCACAAAGATCTAAAGAGGCAAATTCTTATAGGTGCCATTCTAGAGGAGAATAAAACTCAAGTAGAAATTTGTCGGTGGTTTTCTAATATGATATCCTTTGAGCTGTGAAATTGAATACAAGGAGTGAAATTGAATTCGTGCTGAGGAGATTCAGGAAAAGTAGCAAAAGGCGGTTAATCACAATATTTCACACGTATATTAGGAACGGCCAGTCATGGTCGTGTCGGTGCGTTCCGTCGCGGTGGCGCGGATCTGGCGCCTCCGTCGACAACATTCAGGCTGTGATCCAATCTCGGGTGAAAATCGAAACTCACTTTCTTTTGCATGGATTCATCCCAACGTTAACCATCACTGGCACCATTACCCTCACCATCGCCACACCTGATTGTTTCTTCTGTTGCTCATCTCGTCGTTATTCCACAGTCATAAAGTGTCAATTTACGCGTAGTTAGCTTTCTCTTAATCGTTTTTAATCACTGTCAATTCTTCTAACAGATAGAGTTGGAATCTCCAAGTTGCTTTAAAAAGTTAAGTTGAAAAATTCTGGATTGGTTCGTTGCTTGCATCTACGTATTCCTGAATTCCATAACTACGGTTTTTTAACAGCAAACCTCGTTTGCTTGGTTGGTGACTTGATGTCTTTAATGTTCACTAGCCCTAGTTTATGCAGTTTTCGACTGTCGAATTCGATTTCTTATTTATGGAATAGTATTGTCTTGATACAAGCTGTATATATCGTCCACTTCCAAAAATATTCAAAAGATGGATGCCGTTGATGATGGTGATGGTCACAGATAAACTCGATTTTCAAAACCATTTTAGAAATATTAGAACATTTTACAACCCAAGACTAAAATATACCGGTAGATTATCTATGGTTTTTATGAGGGTGATATTCTAGTATTTTACATCACACATATGTCGATGTCTGTTCAAGGTTTTGGTTTTTTTAGGTAAATGAGAAAGCTTTAAACTCTGGATGCCATCTAGCGCCGGCTTCGACGCAAAAATCATGGCGCAACGCTAGTTTTTCGATTTCTCTTCGGGCGTTTTTTCCCATTCTATCTTCTTGAAACGGTTCCCCGCCATCCCGACACATATGTTCTTGCCACCATTCGTGGTCAACCTCAACGTGAGATTTGCGATTCGCTACCCTCTAACGTGACTTCCAAACATTCGTAACTGGTTTTAACCTAGGGCAATTCTTATCATGATATGAACCTTGATAGTTTGTCTCATTAGTCGGCTTCCTATCACTTTGACAGTCCTAGTCGAGCTAATGATAATGGCCCAGATTCTATATCCTCCATGTTGTTGGAAAGTTCAAAAACTGGGCAAGAATATTTTAAAGTAAACCACGACTATAGAATTTTCTTTACTTTTTAAACGGGTTCTTGGTCCTCCTAAGAGTTTATCTCTTTAATGTTGTGTTAACAAAGCGTTACTAAGGATCTCTCCGCTTTCATTTGTAGAATGACGTTTCAGAAAAACCCTTGTGAATGTTCAGTTTGATCCTTTTTTTGTAAAGCCAAGTTTGAAAGAACATGAAAGCGCCGAGTTTGCTTACGGAGGAACGAAGTAGGTGAATGAACAGTTTATGATCAGAAACTCTATTTTTTAATTTTTTCTCTTTAAAAAGCAAATGAAACTTTTAATGTTGAAAAAGAATGAGATTTTATTGTTGTTTAAAATCGTGCTCAGTTTCGAGTTCTCAAGTAATTTTTATACTAGAGCAGATTTAGGTGGATACTCCTTCATGCGTCGTACTGCCGTGGATAAATTTTGTTAATACTACCTAGAACGCCAAACCAGGAACTACTCTTTATTAACTTCGCCAATTGACGACCTAACTAACTGCTAGCTTGCTTTGAATCCGTTCCCACTTCGAATTAGTATAGTTGATTGGGACAGGAAACAATGGAAGGATCACTGGAAGACGACTAGTGTGGCGGCGGTGGCGGCGGCGGCGAGCTGGCGCGGGTCTCGTTCGACGCCCCATCCAAATCTCGTTCTTTCTCGAATGCCATCAACGCTAGCTGTGACCTAAAGAAAGGACTTGTTTCGTCACCGTCAACAGTCAACGTCAGCTTTCACGCTTGCAGTCACCCATTCGGAATATCGTTGAACGACGTCGTGAAATGGCACCGCTTTCGATTTGAGCTTCTCAGTCACGCTGTCACGCCTCAAGTAGCGTTGCTTTTGCATAACTAAGAACCGATTGGTTACTATAAACTATAGAAAAAATATTTACGTTATCTTTCTTTCTTATCCATCTGAACAACATAAATATTGCTCATTAACACAGCACCTAACAACGCCTGCAGGTTCAAGATAATGAAATGAATGAATACCCGTATAGGATAGGAGCGCTACTTTTTTTTGCTATTTTGTTCTTATTATTGTCACTTTCACAAACGCTCTATTCATGTTGTGGCTCATTCCGTTCTAACGACGTCGACATGATTGTAGTAGGATTACGATTTCGTAGGATCATTGCCATGGCGTACTGAGAAGTTCATTCTCGAATAGAATCGTTTTCATCGTCGGCTGTGACCTTACAACAAGACTTGTTTCTTCGCATTCCCTCCCTATTCATTCATGTCATCGTGATGCTGCTAACGTCATTAGAGTGTTTTCTTCAACTTTTTTATTGAATGGAATCATCATCTTCACGATTGCAATGATGCAGCCGAATGGATTCGTAGTTGGCGAAGTGGTAAACGTAAAATGCTAGGGTAATCCCTTTGCGTATTGAAGCTTACTCATGGTTATCTTTAAGATGTTAAGGTTATTTCTATCATCTATTCTAAACAATTTTCTTGAATCTCGGAACTACTGCTCCCTCTTCCCCACCTCAGATTTAATTTAATACTTAATTGTGTTTTGTCTTTATTTACTTGTTACTCGCAATGGAATTATATTTATTTTATTAGCTTCAGTGTAGTACCTTACTTATAGGAATTTTCGCGTAAAGCTCTAAGTGTAGGTTAACTGAAGCTCATTTAACCAAAGCTAAAAACGTTTTGCTTTTTTTTCTTGCAGTTGTATTTTTCCAGTAGTATGGAAAGGTTTCATCGTTTTTCTTAGTGAAATTAAAAATCCTTCCACATCCTTATGTTTTTACATTTTATTTTCCATCCTTATGTAACTCTCTTTTCTTTTTTTCGCACTGAGAAGAAAATTCGTGTGTATTCATACTATATGGCCCAACAAGAAATCATTCTAATGATGGTTAGCATTGGCAGAAATGTTGAAGGTTCTGCTTTTAGCGCAACTGCTTAGATAATCTTTTATCCAAGATAACTGGCTTGAGTGATGACTTAGTAAAGTAGGAAAATTCACTCGGTGTTGGTGAAATTCGCACATAAGCACTCGATTTCGTTAGGAATTGTACAGGTGGCTAAATGGACAACTGGTCTTGTGACAGTAACTTGCGGTGAATTACCGATGCTCAAGTTTTTGTATTTACCCTCACAGCCTAATTTACTACTAATTCTCCTAGTCCGGAAGAATGGAGGACCTACTGAGCACGGGGCGCAGGGTGAAACCAACGGCCCTGTCTTACAGGGCACCTCTAACCGTTGCGCTACAGGCATTGCGCCTGAACACGGGAACTAGATGGAATAATTATTTAACGGTATTTTAGTCGGCTATTTTTTACTTCATTCCTTTAATTACTTACGAGTTCCTATGTTTTTCTCAGTATCTTGTGTTATTCGTGGCTTTTTTTCAAATTTGTCAACGATAGCAGACTCTTAGTTTCGAATAAAAAGTCGAAAATTACTTGCTCGGAAGCTTTGCCCCTAATTCGTGGCGCTCTTGTGTGCCGGTTTCATCGAGCATGGTGAGTATGAGGTGCTTCATATCCGAGTAAGCAATACTGCAAAGAAGACGTAGAAATTTGGTGCAATGCCGAAAGAAAGTGCATACACAGCTCTTTTTTTCAATAGAGAATACTTGCCCTTCTTCTTTACAACCTTAAGAAGTTAAGGTTTCCCTACATAGTTCTCATTTTTTGAGAAAAAAGTTTGTTGCTATACTTTGCTATTAACATACGTTTTAATGGACTTTTACGTTTTTATGGATGTGGATTGCAATCATAATACAAATATAAACATAAACATAAGTACCGGCGATGTACTTGAACTGAGATGTAGGTGGACTCAGCCAACAGCCTGCTTGAATTCTGACTGCCCCAGGATTGTTTTTTTCTCTGTCCACACACACATTATATTCATTTTGAATAGTTGGATAGATAGCATCACCATATTATATGATAACAAAGTCGGTGGAAAGTATGCGGAAGACGATTTGTGGTCACTACGAGGTCCAGAAGTGCGTAGCATGTCTCCTCCGTCAAAGTCTGGCAAATCACTCTGTAGCATATCCAGAACTGGCCGTCGATACCCCAGTGGAGTATTCGTCAGTACCTCTTTACAAGAGGAAATCAAAATAAAATGCTGTTTGGACAGTTTCGAGTTCCTCAAGTAAGTGTAAACTCACGAGACTTCAATGGCGGTAGTACTTTTGGTTACTCGTGGGTTAATAGCGTAGCAGGTGGTAGAAGATAAATTCTTCTCCTAGTATTCACCAACATCGAGTCTTTTTATGCTTCTATGCGTATTTTCATATCATGTTGTTTCAGCTTTTTCAAATGTGTGTAGTCAGGCGTTTTTGTATGAGTGCCGTCTTATCAGCACTGATCTTATCACCTATTCAGCTTACGAGTTACGCTGTTTATCAGCTAGATACGGATTGTTTTTTTGAAACGTTTTCGGTTGGTGGTCGGCTATTTTGTCGCGACACCGACTCGATGAGATAAGATGGTGTCGTTGTCGCGAGTGTACGTCATGTCGCAATTTACACTACATTCAAGTTCATCACATTAATGTTCATTGTGTATGCTTTAGTGTGTTGTATTATATTAATTACAATAAATCGAGACTGTCAGCTTTATGTTGAAAACCGCATTCGCTTCACCACCTTCTTAATCTCATGAACTCGTCATTACTGGTTGTGCTTGTTTTTTCTCTGATAATCAGGTTGTTGACTGATGAATGTTTTGTTAGACAAGCGTTAAATACACTTAAATAGCTGGTCGTATTGACTACTGTTACATTCGCTTCCATACGTGATCGTTTCTGGTTCGTTACCGACCCACGTCGTCATTAGTGGTTTAATGGTTCTGTTCTTACACAACTTTCTGCCACATGAGCTCTTTAAGGAACTGCAGCAGTAAATAACTAATACTTTTTTGTTTATAGTTTTCTTTCCACTTGCCTTAACATTGCTTTCCATGAAGCAAAAACGAAGAGGGAAATTGTATTTTAGTATCATGGTGGCATAGTTGACACTTATGATACGGCTAACAACCAAAAGAACTCCTATAGGATGCGTTGGTAGTCTGAATTTATTTACACGTTCTCGACCTACTTCTGCATTCCACGAGTTCTTAGCACTATAGCAGTTCTTTATCACTCATCGTGTTTCCCTCATTGCGCTGACTAGTTGGCAGGCAGGCAGACATTTTGCATCATCTATTCATCGCTGCCGGTTTTCGTCCTCATCTCGCATCACCCCTCTCCATATACACCACTTCCTTCCGTCGAGACGAGACGAGAAGCGAATCCGTCTACGAGAGTGAAAGCGGTAGATGACCCTGGTTCGGTGGGTGGTGTAGTGCACTGCGAGCGAGCGAGAGAGCGAGCGAAAGAGCGATGTTCATTACCATGAAATATGAGCCGTTTCACTTCCACGTACATAGACGGATTGCTCCTAGACCTTCGATGAATCGGTTAATACGAAAAAGCGAAATTTCTAAAAGTTCCTAAAATCATTGACAACCAAAAAGTTGTGATAGAAAGCGTAAAGCATTTGACGTTGACCAATCGCTGAAAGAGATGCGTTCGTGCGTTCAGCTCTATTAAGCATCGTAGACGTGACTGAATGTTGGCGAATAAGGGAGGAAATATTCGGTCCATACAACGACTTTCGGGAGGATGTCGATATATTAAGTCGGTATTTTCATCCTTCCAGACCAGTCAGATGGTTATTTATAGACTCCGAAAGAATGAGAGGCTTGGTTAACCTGGGATGCAGTGTCGAACCAACAACCATGTGTATATTGTTGAGCACGTAAAACTACTACAGTACAAAAACCATTAAGACGAAGTGATAAGATTAAAGCTTAGTAATAAAACCCGTTAGTATAAATCACAATGTCTTCGAGACTCGCACATTTTGTTTAGTTTTTCTTATCAAAAAAAAACATAACTCAATTGGAGTCAGTAGTTTGGTTGAAATTGGACTGATGAGCCCTAGCAATCACCACATATGTGTGAAGACATGCGATTTCTGATTAGTCAGCGCTCGATCACGGGGCCTCTTATCAAAATAGTCCTCAGTTTCAGTCCTCAAACGGTTCGATTTTGATAAGCGATTGCTTAAAACGAATCTGAACTGAATGCTGACGTTTTTAAGATCACGGAGATGAGTGCCATAATGGAAAGTAAGCCGTTCAAAGCGGACGACTTCATTAAACAAGAACCGTACATTAAGGTATGGTCATTCTTGTCATGAAGTGAAGGTTTAATACTAAAGAGATGACAGAGTGAAATTGATGAACTTTAGGAAGAATATGGCAATGGAAATGATTTGATGTCACAGCAAATCATGCACTGTCAACCAAATATGCAGCAGACGTTAAGTTGGGATAGTCTCCCATTTGGATCAATGAAGGTACACGAAGTGGAAATAGGATTATAATCTTACTCCTAGTATTTAAACCAAAAGAAGTTAGTATTTAAATGATAAATATGGAACTAAGTCAAGAACAGCCAGAACAACTAAAATACGTGCGAAATAAGAATAGCGTTGGCCTATTGAAAACGTGGAAAAGCACGATATTTTCGAAAGTATAGGAAATTGTGGCTATACCTTATTACTTACTTTATTTGATCCGTCTTCATGTCTACTCTGCCGGTCCCAGCACTTCTTACACTCGATTCGTTTCCTCGCACCTATCGTCCACAAATATCTTCCAACTTTTATGTGTGGCTTCGGTTGCTGCTTGAAGATTTCCATTTCATCTTGAATGTCGTAGAATGCTGGTCGAGTCGATACTCCCTGGAGCTCTGAGATAGCAGGGCTAGAGCGTTTCCAGTTGGATTACACAGAGTGATTTTTCCCAGACAAGGCCGGCGCCAATTTTCCAACCTTGGAGGGATGACAGGCTTGGTTGCGCAGGTGTAAGAGAGAATAAATCATTTCTTAGGTAGCATTTTATCAAAACTAGAAGCGCTGGACTAATAACAGTCTAATCTATGGAACAAATCCGTGATGAAAATCCATTGCTGGCAGAAATTACTGGTAATAGGTTTAATTATCTCATATATGCAAGTCACTAATGAATTTTTAGTACCAGGTATCGAAACAGAGTACCACACCGTACACAGACGCAACAAATTGCAAAAAATCTAGCAATCATATCAAGAGGCCGATGAACGCGTTCATGGTATGGTCGCAATTGGAACGGCGTAAGATCTGTGAACATCAGCCCGACATGCACAATGCCGAGATCAGCAAGCAGGTGAGTAGAGTTTTCCGAATGGGAAGAACCATCGACGATTCGGTCTTCGTGCAGAAGTGACAGCCATGGAATGAACAACTGCTATTTCTCGATTTTCAAGCTCCGTAATGTATCATTAAACCTAACGATTTGTTTGGAAGTTGGCTTTATCAAGATCTCATGTTCTTAGCGTAGACTATTTCTTCTTTTTAAAATGATCCATGCCTTAAACTGTAGACTATTCTGTTGTGAAGTACTTTTCGGAATAGTTCAGTGTTTATTTTATAGTACGAACAATATTTCAACTATCATGTATCAACTATCATAAAACATTTGGCAAGTAGAGACGAACGCTGCATCTCTTTCCTTTCCACTAACCGCGATTTGAGAGAGTGCTATCCTGTAGGGATACAGTTATAGCGAAATGGGCTATGTTACCTTATTGTACATTCCTAAATTTCGCTCATTATAGGCCATATCCTAGGAGAATTCGTGTTTTCATGAATCGTAAGGTAAACACGATTCCGTTAACTGTAAGCTCTTAAAGCTTTAATCCTAAATTTTCCACTATTTCTCGCCAGTACACTTCATGGGTTATGAAATGGGTAATCCTACGATCATAGCTAAATGAGGAGACTCATGATAGCTGACTACGACTCTAACCGCCTAGCAGTCAGCTCTACCACATCTCTGCTTAAGTGCCAATGTCTATCGATGATCGAAGGTGATAATATGCGCTGTCGTTTTTGATTCTTCGAAGATAGGAACAACGTCACGCATAAACACCACACACTGTGCGACCTCGAGCGCCATTTGCGCAGTCGTCAGACTTCTTTCGTCCACGAAAACGAGAAATGCTTTGTTCTTTTTAATCGTTGCATTTTCCCTTTTGTCACTTGTAGTGGTAGTTCCAGCGCTTGTATTCACTTGATCCTATTGCTTATAACTGGTTCTACTCACTTGAACCATGTTTTAACTGAACCCACATTTGTCTCTTTTGTAATATTTTCATTTCTTATTCACCTTTAAAATATGGTTAACTGTATGTGTCTTTTTCTTTTGCTGACATCACTTATGCATATTGCAAGGGATTTTTAATACAGCAGCGTTTCTCGAAGAATTCATGTTCAGCTCGGGTCTCGATGGAGGCAACTAACCGAGGAGGAGAAGTCACCATTTGTTGCCGAGGCCGAGCGATTACGACTTATGCACATGCAGGTAAAATGGTCTGAATCATTTTAGATGTCAGTAATGTCGGTACATCCGGCCTTAATGTGACCTAATTTGAAGTGTGTTAAAATTCTTATTCCTAAATTAAAATCTTTAACTTGAAAGTTTATTATCGTAATGGTCGTGGTAAGAAAAAGCTCTCAGCGTTGACCAAACCATGAGGGATGCGCCATGCATTCTACTTCGTTAATCATCATTTGGATTGTGATCGAATGCATATCTGGCTTTTACAATAACTCACGGTGTCCTATCGATGTATCGAGCCAGTGCTGCCAGCCTCGCAGACAAGTCTAATACCAATTTACCGACTCCGGAGGGATGGAAGGCTTTGTGGACCCCGGGTGCGAGTATCGATCTCGTGTGTGTATCGCAGGGCGCCTCGGACCAATGCGCAACACGCGCCACTTATATGTAAATAACCTCAGTTCATTTAGATTCTACTTGATATTTTATGAATTCTTATTCCAAACGCTCTCGGGTGGTCCTCGTTCAACGGAGCTTTATTATTTCCGCTCTAAGCACTACCAGTAAAAAATTTCCAAAGTTCTTGGTATCGTTATACTTAAGATTGCAATTTGTTCAAGAACTGATCCAACCAACAACAACTTGCTTATTTTTTGCGCTCTATCGTCTCTTTTTACGAATAACTCCAAAACTTTCCACAAAGTCTATCAATGCGAAAAACTCGGGAAAACGTCTTTCCATAATAAAATTGAAAAGAAGTTTTGCTATAAAAACAAACTAAGCGTCATGCCGTCACAGTTTCACAGAATGGTGAACATTTTTTAACGACTACGGTCAACATGATTATTCAGGAATACCCCGACTACAAATATAAACCACGTAAAAAACCGAAGAAGAATCCTGATGGATCAGTCCAGAATCCGTCGACGGGTAATGGACCCGGTTCGCCGAGGGTCAAACCGATTAAGCGGTCAGTTCGTCTAATGCGATCGCGCGATGATTCTCGGAAACTTGCTGAAGACGTTGCATTTAGTATCGCTCAAGTGTAATAGTTTCGGAAAATAACTCTTAATAACATTTCAGCTGTTGAGTGAAGAAACTGAGTTAAGACAAATATTGCTGTTGGAAACTAGTGTAGAATAGACTGAGACTAAAATCAAACTCTCGTTTCTTCCAAGTTATGAAACAATTCAGAGATTTCTCTCACGAACTGATTTGAACCGATTTTTATCAAATATCTTACCAGTTACAGTTTTGATAAGGCTAACGAAGGAGGTTTTACGGCCCACTTCCTTTTTGCTGTTTTCATACTCTGCTCGGTTAACATCTATGAAGACTTAACAAATATTTTAGAATTAGATGTATCGGTTTCATGACCAGTATTTTTTAAGTCCATTACAACACATGGGCAGTATCGGTATGACGATCTCGGATCAACAGTATCCAGTCGGAAAGTCCGTGAAAATGGATCACGATGGAGTACGGGTGAACGGTTGCATGATGCCCTACATGACGATGGCGCAGGACGATATCAAAAGCCCACAACACGTCAAGCAGGTCAGCAGGACATATTTGACTAGGATTTGTTTCGTACTTTTTAACATCTGCTTAAGATCTACGTGTATTAGAGTGATGGCTTTGCGGAATTAGGGTCAAAAATAGCAGAAGACTTTCTTTGTGTCGAAATACTGTACATAGCAAAGCTTCAAACCTCAGCACATGGTCTCGCAGGAGGGAAACCAGCTCGACATTTCTAGCCAGCTAAAGTCCAACCAGTGTCAGTATTCACTGCCCTCCTGTCAGTAGAATTGCTATTAGTTGGTAACTGGTGACTGGCTGCCAAAGCTCCAGCACTGATTCCGAGACTCTACGCATAGGAACTTGCTGAACTGTGAAACTATCAGTGAAATGGAGTGTAACGGCCCGCATGATTCTTTCTTTTCTTGAAAAAAAGTTATACAAGTATTCTAGTGCGCTCGTAATTGGCGAAAAGTGAATTTCATGGAAATATTCCTTGGAGACAAGTGAGAAATTTTGCTTTTAGTCACTTTACTATAAAAACTAGTGTAAATTGGTGAGCTCAGTGTCCTGGAACTTCTGCTTAACTATTTTGCAGTAGAATGACCTTCATAGTAAGGGAGTGGAATGGAGAAAGGTACGGTATATGGCCTTAGAGGTCTTCTTAGGACGTTTAGCAATATGCTAAATAAAATAACATTAAACAAGATTTAACAGAAAGGGTATATTATGACTATTATATATTGCTGTAATAAAAGAGGAGCTGACCTGCAAACAACTTCAGGGTTGATTTATTTTGGGCGTCTCCAAATATTTTTCTGAACTGTTGCTATAATGTTCTGGCGTTTAGATCTCTTAGTATACCTCATTTTCGACTTGTCGGAAATTCAGTTCATTGGGTGACAAACTGTGGTGAGCTTAAACCTCATCTGTAATGCATAGTTGTCATGGGATGACAAGACGGCAAGTTAGTTTGTCGACATCTGGGGTATTGGTCCGATAGAAGAGAGCAGACGTGCCACCAGTTTCCAACGACGATCGTGTTGAGATCGCTGAACAGCATCGTCACCGTCATGTTGTTCGTCATCAAAGAATCGATGTCCTCGAGAGAGACAAGTCGGCTGCCGGCTTCATCCAGTTTCTCTCGTTTGCGCAATGATGGTGATCTTATCGACTGAAATCGAGAGGAGTACATGGATCGGCGAACAAATGGATAGCGCTACCATAGACCAGGGTATGACGAGAAGCCTTCTGTATGTTCATTTGGAAGAAAATTACTGAAAGATCTCGTCTTTTTAAGATTGTCATTTCATCAACAATTTGTGCACTTCTAAAAACCCTTTCAGACTTTGATTCTGGTTCTTAGTTCGACGGAAGTGGGTATATGACAAGAATGTAAAATTCTTCTCCTCCAATTTGTTCACAAGAACTTGTTTGTTTTTTAGATTCTTTTGCACGAAAAGGAAATAATTACTGGGAACCAGTTTCCTTTGGAAGTGTTCCAAGGCGCTTTGGAAATCGTCATATTATTTAAGCCAGATCTTCTCTTCTGTCACATTTCATTCTTTTAGACATTTACTAGAACGTGTACTAATACCTCTCATTCATTGTTTCTGCCTAGATGCTTAACCATAGCCATTAAATTGCCCTCAACTTGGGCACTTCACTATTAATTTAGTGGTGCAGGGTGAACTATGCTTAGGTGATACTAGCATATATTGGCAGTTTAGTAGAACTGTTTTTAATTTCGGCTTTTTTGTGCTTTTATTTGTAACTGTCGATTTTTCTATTAACATCCTGTCTTTAAGGAGGCACGTCTCTTCCATCCGTCTTTCCCATCACCTTCGGAATTCGGTCAGGCGCCGCTGACCCCTGAATCCGGCTTCTACGACGACTACTACGCGCCCAGTGGAGCCTTCCCGAATCCGACCACTGCTAGTCCATCAAATCAGCTGCTGATGCCGATGCATAGACTGGTAGAACAGTATTATTCCATTTACAGATTCGACTGATTAAATGGACACGATTCAAAAAAATTGCAAGAACCTTTAGTGCTTCTTACCCTTCTCCCCATTTTTAATTCACCACGTAGATATTATCGATTGCACCAGTTAAAAATACTACTTTTTTCAACATTTTTAGGCCAATTTGAATCTGACTTGTAAATAGTGGATTTCATGGTTTGGGTTGCTTAGTTCCGATTTATAGCAGCATTATTATTAAGGGAAATCTTAGTAACTCACATGACTAGTTTGTTTTGGTTGATGCAGTAGTGGATGGTCTACAATTACTTGAATCAATACCGATTTTAAACACAGTCGATTGAAAATGAGGTAAAGGAGCGCTAGAAAGCTTCGTATTGTAGAGAAACTTTCCTGCTCCCTTTCAAAGTCACTTTAGGAAGGACGAAGATGAGCTGGGTGGCTCCGAACATTGCAAAAAATTTGCTTCAATTTTATGATATGGAAATAGAATAGCAACATCGAGACAAACCTTTGAAAATGATCACAAGATCTGTATTCATACGGCGGAATAGCCAACTTTTGATGAGAGTTTTAAAGCACGCTATGGAATCCGATATAATGTCGCAGCAGTACGGCAACGGTCAAGCACAACCCCCACCCCAGCAGCAACAACAAGCGGCGTTCTTCGTTCGAACATCACCTAATAATCCACAAGAACAGGTGGTTCATATTGTTAACATGAACTCAAAGTAATTTGGCTAATAATTTGTTGCAGGTTAATCGATTTTCTGGTCCGAAAATCAAGACAGTGCGGATTAACCTTGATAGCGTTTCGATATCTTTAAGAAAGCGCTTAGTTATGAGATTTATATAAAACCAGAGGAAGCTGCATAAATAATCGAATGGGTTAAATAAGAGGTTTAAGGGTAAAAAAATTTGAAAGTTCAACAGTTTATTCATATTTGATGGGTTTTCTACGATAACTTTCTTTCCCTACATTTTATTGGAACTCTTGAGACTTCCCAAAGTATTTACTTGATCATCAACAATGGGATTACATTTTCAGTTCCTTAGATTGTCCTACGTCTATTGTAGTAATTTCGAATGTTACCAAGACCAATTTACTTCTAGAGAATCTCGCAGAGGAAAATACAACTGAATGTCCTTATTTTTCCGCTCTTTTTTGTTTATGTCATGTCACTACTGGATCCCACTACATCACTATTAATAACACTCTTAGTTCGAGTGGAATCTCTAACAGAGAAAGTTATCCCTTGCTAAAAAGAGAAAGCAACGAGCTTGTTACTATCAGGCAGTTTTTTAGGACGACATGCGCTCTCTATCGTCCGGCTCATCCGGCTACGGCTCGGTGCAGACCGAAAGTGATCCGCCAGCAGCCTTTTCTGCAACCGCACCTCAGCCACCGACGAGCGCTAACGCTTCTAACTCTCAAACTGGGCAATTTGTCGCTTCGGAAGCCGAATTGCTTCCATCAATCTACGATTTTAATTTTACAGCTGCCGTTAACGCATCAAACGGATGGAATGAGATGTGGCAGAATCACTTCGCAAACGGGCACGCTTTCGATCACATTCCAATTTAGGTTCTATCTCTGACCAAATTATCGACCTCAGGCTCAAAGCATCGAACGTATAGTGATTCCCACATAGTGATATATATCTTCGGTCGACGATGATCTTTTCTGTACAAAGTGCCACATGAATGCGCCGCCCTCTTGGTGTTTTTTTTTGTGAGCACGTATATGTGTAACGAACATTTTTTCCATTTTTTGATGTTTTGCATCCCTATCTTTATTGACCCGGTCCTTTCCTAGACTTCGTATGGCCGCTTAGAAGCCAAACGAGCGGTGTAGACCATTCAGTATTTTCTTCTGTTCAGCGATACTGTTGATTTTTCGTGTAGCTGAACTATTACACTATTGCCACTTTTGTATTTACCTTCTGAGCTGCTTAGTTCTACCAGCAGCACTTCTGCTATCTTCCTCATTCTATCCGACTCCTTGCTGTTTTCCCCTTTCGTCCATGCACTTTCAGGTCGGCATAATATCATCTCTACTGTTATGTTCTCTTTTTTTCTTTTCTTTTCAACATAAATACCATTAACACTCTCCGTGAACGAAACCTCATCGCTATGGATTCACCACTATTCAGAGTCAAGCTTTATCCTTTCGAAGTTTTCATCTTTTTTCTCTGTTATTCGTCGTACTTTGCGAGTTTTTCATGAGTTTTTTTTTGCATTACCTGCATGTTGTTGAACCGAAACTTGTAATAATTTGCGGTATTCCATAGGTCCTCTAGAACCAGATTATCGCCAGTAGTCCGCCAAGAGGTTCAGCAGCCGTCTGAGCTCTGAACTCACCATTTGATTTCTTTATCGTTCAAAACCATATCTGAAGTGTATGTTAACCTGTATTACAAATAATTATAGATTATAAGTAAATAAAAGTGACGGTAATGGTGTTCCTGTTTCCCAGATGTGTTTGATGAAGTTTCAAATGTTTCAACTTTTATTTCCTGGTTATTCTTTTCTTACAGCGCTGTGTGATATGGAATACAACCACATGGATGGCTGAGGTAGGAACGAAACTCGGAGCTTCAGTTGGGTTTCGAACCCGCGGGCACCCTTGCCTTTATTTTCAAAGAGATCTCCACGGTTGAAGCTGTGAAGTGTTTTTAAAGTTGGTCGAGCAGCTTGATTGAAAAAAATCTACTGTAGACTCATGGCAGATCGTTGAACGTTCTAATGTATTCTAAACCACTTCACTTATTATGCGATTAATTTTATAACGCCAGTAACCTTACACTACTCTCAAGGTTAGTACCAAGTATCTAAGGACGAATAGAGTGCAGTGGCTTTAGGTTATCAACGATGCGTATAGTCCATCGTTCGATACTGTTCCAGTATTACAGGGCATCCATTCAGTGTCTACCGCCGGCAAACTTGAATCAGTAGTCCACCCGAAGCCACTGAATGGGCCAAATATGTAATCACTCATCTCCATTGAGCTTAACGGAGTGGGGTACATGACGCGTCTTTCAGGGAATGACTAACACAAAACAGTTGAGCACTTAGCGTTTTATCTAGAAAAATACAAATATATATATATATATATATAAAAGAGAACGCGTGAGGGGCAGTGGGCGGAGGTGCCCTGCAACGCACACGTAGAATCGATTCCTGCGCCCATGGTCCACCAAGCCTTTCTTCCATTCATCCAGGGTCGGCAAATTGGCACCGCACGTGTCTGTGAGGATAGCAGCACTGGTTCGATACAACGGTAGACCACTTCAAGTCATTGTAAACGCCAGATATGCATTCAGTCACTTCCGTACGAAGCTTAATGAAGTCGAATGCATGGCGTTCCCTCAGGGATTTATCAACGCCGAGAGCTTTATCTTTTTATTATTTATCGACAGAAATAATGTAAACCAAGAAGATAGTCTAAGATTCAGGCGGATTTCGAAGCGTTATCAAGTCTAGGATTTAGGTGGTTTTCGAACGTTCTCACTCTTCTAATGTTTAAATCACAACCAACACTCTTTTTGACACCTTGGCGGGGTCTTTTGATAGTCTTAGCGTCACAGCGATCTCCTTCAGCGACGAATGAAGGGAAGGAATTTTTCCACTAGCGAGAAAAACCACTTTTCTAGATAATAGATATTGCGCCACTGCAACAGTTCACAGTGACCTTAAAACTCGCTTGATAATCAAGAAAGTTGACAAGACCGGAAGGGATGCGTTAGGCTCCGCCACACTTGGGACCTTCAAGCGGCGATGGCGTCCCGCAGCGAATTCGAAGCGATTACGGTCACGACGCGAAACACCTGCCTCCTCATCGTCGACTCAGTTTAATAGTGTTTCATCAACAAGCGATAGACATAGGGAAGTCAGTTTCAAGTCGTACTGCCAATCCGAAAAACTGGTATATTTACCCTTTTTAAGCTTGTATTATTAGTCGAAATGAAAATTTTCAACGTGAGAAAGCATTTAAAGGGATGATCTAATAATTCATACTGTTCAAACTCATTTGGGCCTGCGAGATCAAATGTTTTTCTTGAATTGAATACAAATGTATGCATGTCTTACCAATGTTCTATAACAAAGTAATTTTGGGCTGTATCATTTTTGAAAAAGGACTCCGTGCAGCGCAATGTTCGGAGATACAATACACAAGAGATCCATTCCAGTACCCCTAGCCCACCAAGCCTCCCATGCTTCTGGGATCACCAAATTGCTACCAGGCTTGTCTGGGAGGTTAGCAGCGCTGGTCGGTAGGTCACCGCGAGTCATTGTAAAAGCCAGATATGTATTCAATCACCTCAAACAACAGTTAAGGAAGTGGAGTGCGTGGCGTATCCCTCAGGGATTGATCAACGCCGAGAGCTTTATCCTTTCTACTCTTCTGAATGTGGTTTTAGAAGAAACCGAATTTTGAGGAACAGTAAGAAAAATTATAACAGCTGGAAATTAGTTGTAGTGTTTATTTAAACGCTGCAATTCGTCGGCTGACTTTTTCAGAATGGTTTAACAAATAACTTTGTACACAGATGTCTACTTAAAAACTTGGACGGTTCTCCTTCTGCGGAAAATTGTGCCCGTTACGGCACGTCTTTTATTTAACTGACACCTTGCTAGTTTGGCAAGATTCTTCCCTGGAATCCCGATAGTTGTGGTGTTTCCAACTAGTCACCAGTGGTAGTCGCCGAGTTTTATGGGAGCGAGCTTCACCAAGTTGAAAATAGATTTCTTCTTAGATGAAAAAAAGTAATAGTATTTGTTTATTGCTTTTCTGCTAACGTATTTGCAAAATTCTCTTACACTCTCTATTAACTCTGCTCATCCTTTATTCAGGGGCGGATAGCACAGTGGTAGTGATATCCGACATCACGAGCATGGTGCTAGGGCGATTCCGCACCGCGCCAACCAAGAATCTCATCCCTCCAGTGAATGATACCGCATATGTCTGGGAAAAAAATCACTCTGCAATTCAGTTGGGAACGCTCCAGCCCGTCTATCTCAGGACTCCAGGCAGATTTGCTCGACCAGCATTCTACAACATTCAAGATTAAATGGAAATCCTCAAGCAACAACCGAAGCCACGCTCAAAAAGTTGGAAGATCTTCGTGGACAGTGGCTTCGAGGAAACGAATCGAATGTGAGAAGTGCAGGGATCCACTCAGCAGACGTGAAGACGGATCAAATAAAGTGATAAATAAAAATAAAATCTCAATTTTAAGGCGGGGAAAAAGGCGATACTGCCGAAACGTCAGCTAGTATTGTATTGTATTGTGTTTTTTATGGAAGTAAATGTACGCTGTTTAAAAACCTCGCGATTGCTGAACAAGAAAACGACGCATTCATATTCCAATGCCGAGGTTAATAGAAAGTCGATCCTGGGAACTATCTGAATTTTAACTTATTATTTACTGCCTATTCTTTTTAATGGTAGGGTATATTGCGAAATATAACTTCAATGATGCTGAGATATTTGCAAAACTCCGGACCGCAGATGTCTGCGGTGGGGAACGAACGCGCTATTGTCCCTTCCTATATTCAGAAGACAGGCGAAGCGAAAGAACCGCATGATGTGGTGGTGACGCGTTGCTCCCCGGAAAGGACAATAGCGCGTTCGTTCCCCATCGCAGACACCTGGGGTCCGGAGTTTTGCAAATATCTCAACATCATTAAAAATAAAATCGTTTATTCACAAATGCGTAGGATTACAAATATTTCAACTCCAATCTTCACAGTGAGACATTCAGCGTTTAAAAAATTCTTTTGAAGAATTTCGCGGTATTTCTTTACGAAACTGAACAGGTGTGGATACTATTATAAGAAGTTGGGTACTCGTTCTGTAAGCAACTTTGAAGATTCTTCTCGCCCAAATAACCTTACTGAACAAATCGAGACAGCAGCGTCTTTCCTTACGTTAGTTCTTTTAAGATCTTTTTTAGGAGCTGCATGAATTTCTACGAATATAGTTCTAAGCTGGCTGCTTTGCAAATCGCTCTAGTTAAATAGTTTGTAGGGAAGGTGCTTCACACTGTTCTTCTATCCTGGGTCTAATCCATAAGAAAACCACATTGCTTAGGTATCGTATTCAATATTTATGTTATTTGTTCTCATCATTGTGGGTGTATTCAGTCACATTCGAGAACTTAGTTCATTACTTTCATTATTACTGCGTGCAATTAGTCGACCAGTCAGAGAAAGCAAGTGGGAAAAACTAGACCAAAGAAGTTTTGCCTCAGTTCTGATACCTGCTTTGGTTCGTGTTTCTCAGCATTTATTAAAGCGAGGTTGTCAATTCCTTAAGTCTTGAAAAGATGTATGTTAAAGTTATATATAAAAAATGAAAGCAGGCTTTATGAACAAAGTTGGGTAACGCCACCTAAATTCAATTTAGGTTTTTGATATCCAAATGATTATTTTTAATATTCAAAGTGGATAAGTCCACGATTACTCTATCACAAATATTTTTTGACTCATCTAGAGCTTGTTTCGCATAGAATTCTTTGCCAGTTAAATTTTCATATTAGTTTTTAGTTTGCTACAGTAACTTTAGTTTGAAAAAAGTGGACT